GGCTCCTCCTCCACCTGATTTTTTGCACTTGTTCACATATGAACTGGCAGATACTCCGTTGTGTGTCTGTTCGGGCCCCCACCTTGTCCCGTGTTGCCTGTCGAATTGCAGGGCTGTCCTTTTGTGTTTGAACAGTGCCCAGCAGCACCATATGGCAGACAACACCACAGCAGGCTTGATTATTATTAATGAAGATAGTGGTTTATATGGTGATAATGTCCACGACATGCTGAAATGATTTATCTTGTAAGGAGAAAGAGTTTCTCCACAGTACTCAAGTACATGAAAAGGGCCACAGAAGTGGTTGTGTCACAGCTGACCACAAGTAATCCATCTTTGGAGCAGTTGGCCATGGAGAAGTGAAGCCAAGCAGAGCACTGACAATACAGGCCTGCAGAAGGAGGTGACCAGGGACTATAAAGAAGTCCTCTGAGGCCTGAGGTTTTACATTTCTGCTCAATAGACTTGCAAAATGTAGCCCAGGGGCTGGTCACGGGGGCTCATTGTGTTCCTCCGTGTCGTGGGGCTGCCTGCTCTGCTGTACTGACACAACCAACCCCCCGTGGCCACTTGCCCCTCCAGGGCATCCAGACCTGGGGACGGTTGTGCGTTGGCCCCTCGGGTGGGTGCAAGTACCCAGTTCTGGGGTTGGGGCGGTGGGCTCTGCCGGGAAGAGGTGGTGCCCAAGACCCGGTGCCGGCAGGGCGGTAACTCCTGTGGTGTTTGGGAATCTTTTGCAGCCCCCTGATGTTGAACGACAGCAGTTCAGCACATTCCATGCCGAAATATAGTCGCCAGTACTCCTTGGAGCATGTCCACGGCTCATCCCCATACGCAGTAAGTACGCCGTGCACGCCTGGCCTTGGAGAGGGGGACGAGGGCACAGCTTCGTGGGGAGGGACCCGTTTTAGGCTCTTCTCCAGCTGGTCTTGCCTTTGTACAACCGTTTGCTCACAACCTCTTTGTATTGTTTGGCAAAGTATTTTAAGGTGGCAGCTGCATTCTAGCTTAGCCAACGGGGAGAGAGCTGTTAGCTGGTAATTCTCAATGATAGTTGTGACGGGGCCGAGGATTTGGCTTGCAGACCAAGCAAGGAGTGATCCGAATCCCACTGAAAGCAGAGATGGGTTGAAGTGGTGCCTTCTTGCTTAGCTTACCTCTGCTGACTTGGTCCTTGTTTTGGTCTTGTCACAAACAAAATGCATCTGATGTCAGTCAATCCCTGCTAAACATTTGCTCATACTGCCTAATTAATGTGTGACCATGGATAATCAGCATTTTTCCCTCCAGAGAAGCCTCCTTTCGGTCAGGGAAGGTGCCGTGGGTCAGAGCCTGGCTGAGACACAGGCCTGAAGTGGCAAAGACCCAAGTGATCAGAGCTGAATTGTGTCCGTGGAGGCAGGGAGCAAGGTGGGAAGA